ACACACACACACACACACACACACACACACACACACACACACACACAATACTTAGCACAACTCTCAGAAGGGATGGGGCAGGGATGGGATGGACAGCATGTGGTGCTTTACACAATGTATGTCATCAATGCTACTCATCACTAATGGCTTTACTTGTACGTGTGTGTGTGTGTGTGTGTGTGTGTGTGTGTGTGTGTAGGAGTGGGAGTTGTCCTGAGGAAGTGCACACCCTGACACTGAACCTGCCAACAGGCAGGGAGGACAACTGTTTTCACCTGTTAACCTTTAACCTAATCCTCTTAGGTAACTGGGACACAGTCACATCTGCTGAAGACACACCCAGAGATGGAGTAGCAATAGGTTAATTACCACCAAAGTGCAACAACAAGCTTATCCCATCTCACTTTATGAGTCACTAAAACGCTCTTTTCTGAATCCAACATTACAGCTCTCATCTTAAATGAATGTGACCTCTGTGTGTACTTGGTTGGCTCTGACCCTTCCACAACTTCTGCTGAGGGAGAAAAATAAAAGTTGAGCGAATTTGGACTGACTCATGTCTGTGTGTACATCTATGAGAGCGCCAAAGAAAATCAACCAGGGGTCTGGGACTGCACGCTCTCGTCTAAAAGGCACGTGACCGAGGCATCCCACCCAGCAGGATCTGCTGCCTATAAGCCTAAATACAGCTGCTCTTTCCTCTCACCAGCACCCGAGGGAACCCCAGAGGAACAAACACCAGGTTCAGAAACATGATCAACATCGGCTTTGACTGGACATGCATGCTGACATATTCAAACTTCACCATTATCAGATTATCTTAGTAGCATGACACACATTTTCATGATCACATTCATTTGAGTCACAACATGGAAAATGAGTCATGCAAGGCCCTTTGTCTCTCTACCCTACTACATTCTAATATGTGTATATTATTATACTGCCACTTTAATCAATCAGCTCATTGTATCTTAAGCTAACCATTATAAAGAGCTATAGCCTGTAATTAATGGCTTCATGATGTTTTTTGGATCAGTTATACCGCATTAGTACAACTTTTGGGCTGTCAGTTTGTGAAAATCCCTCCAGCATGACACTTTATTTGCCTTTGTCTTTCAAAAGACTGTGAAAAAAGGCTGCAGAGCATCTGGACCAGAATCTGCCAACTTGATAGATTGTCGTAAGAACACTTTAACAAATGCTTTTCTATACTCTATTGTACTGTAATAGTTGATATGCATATCTTCTGGATATAATGTAATAGGGCCTACTACTTTTGATTTCGTTTCTAAAAATTGAGATTAGTTCTCCGGGCAGCGGCGCAGATGCTGAGGGCCCCTCCCCTTCTGCAGCAGCAGCAGCATAATTGGGAGTTTACTGTCTGTCTCTCCCGGGCGAACTGCCACAGAGTAACCAGCCATCCAACACACACACACACAGAGTGCAAGAGTTCAAGAGCGCTAGCGTGCGTTTGACTACAATTAAGGGGAGTGGAAATATTTGGGGGAAAGTATCAGTTTATTCATCCACTTTTCTTTTGGTCGGGACGAAGTTGCGCAAGTGTGTAGCCTATACTTTTGGTTACTTTTCACTGTGAGTCAGGCAATTAAGGAGAGTGACGCTGCTGTCCACAGCGTGAGCATGTGTTGCATGTGAGACACGGATCTGACTGCGCAGGTAAGATGAGAGACGTAGAACTCTGAGGTACTGTTTTTCAATTTACTTGCTCAGCTATCGTCTTTCCCATCTGTTGCATTGTAGTAATTAACTTGCAAGTTTGTTATGTTATCCAGATGACAGTGTTTTTTAGCACAATAGGCTATCTGTCTGTTGACATTTTTTAGCTCTAAATTTAAACATCTTGCTTTAACGTTGTTGTGGCTATCTATTATATTTTGATATTTGATATTTTCCAACTTTAAGTTCTGCCGAACAGTTTACCAAATTTCCCAAATTCAACTCTTCAAATCCCGGATTTTATGCATATGTCTGTCGACTTTTAAGAATCTCTGAACAGCTTTGTTTAATGCATGGTGACAAATGACTTCTTAGATTATACAAGGACTTTTTAGATTATTTTATAATCCTATGAAGAAATTTTATCAATCTGTAAAGAAAAAAGAATCATTTTAAATGACTTGTATTGTTAAAATCACCAATATGTGTAATGCATGCTGTTCATCAGGCAGCACCAGTGTGTTCCTGAAATGTGCAATTGAATGTGACTAGGCACACTTAAACAGCCAAGTATTTTTTGACAATCCAAAATATTCACATCAGTAGTCCACTGAGTGATTAACAGTGCATTAATCAGTGGACATATTTGCTTTACTTGTGGAGCTCAGCTCACTGCCATGTGTGTATTTCTGTGGTTTACTGTGCAGCATGTAGGAATGAAAAGGAGTCATGTGGCTTTTGTGGTTAGTTATTTGATCTTTCCCCTACCTGTATATCTAAGTTCTCAAGGACCCACTTACTGCACTTTTAAAGGTTTATCTAACTCCCTCCAAGGCGCTTTGGGGTTTGGGGGGTGTTGTGAGTGAGGCAAATAAACTATTGAAAGGGAGTCAGAGAGATGGAAGTTGTGTAGATATTGATTTCTCTGGCAGAGTTTCAGGGCTTTCGATCAGAAAATTATTTCTGCTTCGGGCCACATAAAGACAACTCAGAAAATCGTGTGTGATTTTCTCCTTGAAGCATTGTCCAATAGTTACGTCACTGAAGTGGCGTCTGTCAGGCATACTTAATGCAGTCGGCTGAGAACTGCTGCTAAAATCACAACCTGGAAATGTATGCAAGTGATCTTTGAAAATGGCACTTTTGAAAAGTGACAGCATACGTTGAAAAGGTATTACATCTCATTTCTGTGAGAGCTCTGATATGGTTGGGATTGCATTTCATAATAAGTTATGATGTGAGTCTGGTTAAAGGGTTTTGGTGGTGTATGTGGGTTCCTTTGTTCATTGTATCACTTTAAACCCACGCTGAGACTCCTGTTTGCTTTAATTCACTCCTGTTCTGTATTGCTTGTATAGTTTGATCCAACATTACCCTTAAAATCACAGCAACATTATTCAGCTGTGTTTTGAATGGCCTACAGCACCATTCCTGTGCTCTGTGACAATGTCATGCCATTCACAGCGAGGCTTTTTCCTGGACAGCGATGAAAACTGAAAACAGAAAGAGTTATTTCTCAAAACTCAACAGGTTTTGGGTGGAAGGCTTTATTAAAACATACTTGTAATGCTGCACACTAGCCTAGCCTTATACGGTCATGTCTCCAGAATCCTTCAGCGCGCACGGACAAAGCAGTTAAGGCACCTTTACTGCAGTGGCGATGTTAGAGAGTCTACAACGGCTAGGTGCCAATGACTTGCAGACAGACAGCCCGGCTGGGTTTGCCTGCCCTGCAGCTCTGTGGCCTCCGTGTTTCTACTGAACTATACTGGAGCTTGGCTGGGGATAATGGCATTACAAAAGCCTTCCCAGGACTGAGAAACAACAATTACTTACTTAGTTACCTCCTGCATTTGTAGAAGACATTAATGCTCTTGAGAGGAGTTGTTGCATGGCGTACATGGGTGAACCCTTGTGTCCTCGGGCCATCAGGAGACAAGTAAGAGCACTTACAACTGTCAGTCACTGTTTTCATGCCCTGTTGCTACCATCTGGCTACCTCAGGATGGTATAGGCTTACACACACACATATGTTCATACATGCAGACACTCATCCACATTCAGAGTTGCACGTCGGGGTCATGGCTTGTTCAGCATGTCTAGAGTTACAAGTTTCCCAACTTTCCTTTGTTGTGATAGCAGACCTGAGCTGGCACTGTCTCGAACCTGTGGGCTCCGTCTTCCATCGCCAGATTGGTGGATTAAACGTCAACATTAAACATAAAGCAAGTCTTTAACAAAGGCAGCACAAGCACCATTATGTTTCTTTGGTGTATTTGGTTATCATATCAGCAGTTACCCAGAGTATTCACCAGTTTTTATTTCAGATAACAGCTTAGGGAGGGACACAATGTGGACAGACAGGACCTCAGGGTTGGAATTTTATCCATCTCCACATGTTTTTTTCCACAGACATACTCTTCACTGCCAAAACGGAAGGAATTCCACTTGAATGTTGTCTTGTCCGGGCATTACCATTTCATGCATAGAGAAAAGTGTGATTGTCATGAGATGTCTGTTATTTTTAACGTAGTGTTGTGAATGTGTGCAGGACAGGGCCTGAATAATTCACTCTGAGAAATTCTCACATAAAGTCTTTTACTAGGGCAGTGGAGTTAAAATGTCAGAGTCGTTTAGTTGTGTGAGAGGGGCAATCTGTAATCAGACTTTTCTGATTTATAGGATTTATTAGCAGGTAAACGACTGCAGGAAATACAGACTTTCCTAATGGCACAGGATCAAATGTTCTTGTCTATGGAGACATTACCTAACATGTTTTGTGCTATGCATTCATTCACTATTTAGGGCCAATTTACTGCTGCATTTTCAACTTCAAAGCCCATCTCAGTCTGTATCACCGTGTTTGGATGATAACGTTTTCTGTAGAAGGGGATATTTTGGCAATTTATTTTGCATTCAATTTGATGAGGGATATGTAATTTCCCAGGAGATACACGTGCTGTGCTGATAGATACGGTGTTTAACTCGGATAAGGTGGGGTAATGTTTCTGGTTTAATCTAAAATGAATCACATTTTGCTGCCTTGATGTTTACTTTATGACCTGAGTAAACAAAATACAGAAACAAGGAGTTAATAAGTTCCCCAAAAGCTTTAGTGTAATAGTATGTAGGTTGAGGTTTTTGATGTCAATCCATAATAATCTTACATCGCTGAACTATCACATGTTTCATATTTACTTGCACTTTGGCAACAGTTAATTCTCAGCATACAGTTAAACAGTGTGAGAGCTGCACCCTGTGTGTGAGGTGTTAAATTTGACATATCAAAATAGTTTAAACTTTGAAGACATCAACCCCTTCAGATCAATATTATTAGTTTTTATTAGCAGACTTTGGAGACCGAGCTGACAGTGCTACTTTACTTTGTTTCTAGAAGTCTCGTTATGGAAATATAATATACCGTATGTTACAGTGCCAAGACATTTAGAGAAGGAGTGGTGCTTGTCTGTATTTGAGCAGTGTTGTGTTTCCTTCTTTACTGCCGACTGTAACTGGAGTTATAGCCCACAGAAAAATGTTAATGCTCCTTATATATGCTTTATAGTTTGTGTTTAATACAAACACAAACAGTGCGGCCCGGTGGGTGTCCTGTATTTTCCCTTTGAGACATGAACTCACACAGACTCACAAGAGAGTTACATGCTTGCTTGAATGCAAGGTTGAAAAAAAGATGATTGACTGTTGCCAAGAAAAACAAGCAATGTCTTGAGAGCTAGAAACAATTACCTATGTTGTTCTGCCAGGTCAGTGCCTGTGGTCGGGGAATAAAGACAAATAGCTGTGCTAATGCACTCTGTCCTGTGGAGATGGAGGGGTTTGATAGTAGTGTTCTCTACAGGGCACCATGGTGTTGCTAAATGCCTCATTAGGGGTGGTCTCTTTGTGAGATTGCCCATGGCCAAAGCACTTCTTCCCCATCTGCTCCATGTCTGCTGATAACTTATGCTGGGAATATTATTTTTCTTAAAAGTTCAGCTACTTAACATTTCTTACATAGCATCTTAAAAATAGATTTGGGATCCTTGTTAATCAATGACTGCTTGTTTTATGGCACATATTCACTGTTTGACGTGAAACCAAAAAAGTCAGTATATTTGAGGAGGTGACATCTATAAGATGCTAAATGTTTGGAGATCAGAAGCCAGCAGCCCCATATTGGCTGCTATAGCTTTTAAATCTGTCACCATCGCCATCAGGATTGTTTCCCATCACCCCCTGCACCGTGTGCCGGCCATGCTGCCAAAGACAACAGGGACTCTATCCGCCAGGAAACAGAGGTGTTAGCTTAACCCACATGGCACAAGCTGTCAGTATTTTTTCTTTCACACCTCCCTCTCTCTCTTTTCATCTCTATTATTCACCCTTTTCACTTCCTTGCTATATTGTGTGACAATCCCCTGTTATTGGATGGAGAGTTTTTAATGCTCCTCTTCTGATACATGACCTTTCTCTTTTGTTTGGGGCCTATTCTTCTAGAGGGGCGCTGAACAGGCCTGTACTGCTGATAGATGTAGGCACTCAAGCGGTAAAGAGAGATACATTACTCGAACACTACCCACATGGGTGAAATCGTGTCACTGCTTCCCTGAAGATACTGCAGGAAGGATGAGCCCCACCACCAGCATTATCGCTGTCGCTCCCAAAGTGTGCAAAGACTGCATTTAAACCGGCCCACTTTCTCACTCTCTTTGCAGATTGCCCATCCATCACATGCCGCTCTATATCTGTACTTCTAACCCTGAAGGTGTGAAGGTGCCTCAATTTGTCATCTTAAGTAAACATCAGTCTGTTTATCAGGGTCTAATCCTCTCCAGTTTAAAGCTATGGGGGGCTCGGATGGGTGCCACTCCGCCCTGATTCTACATAATGAACTCAAGTTTCAAACACCAGATGCCAAAACTGGACTGGGAAAATAAATGAAGTGAAATGACTTGTACTTTTACAGCTTGCATCTGTCTGCCAACATGCCATGCAAATCTGTGCATGTAGGTGTGAATGAATGCATGTTCCCAGAGTGTCAACTTATATACGTATTTTCTTCGGCACTGCATAGACAATGTTTGGCCCAAAAGGTGATCTTCTCTTGTCCATATGTCCAGTTCTTCCAACCGGAAGCAACATGCTTGGTTTCAGAATTTGAGATATGCGAGTGTGTTTGCCACATCAGAGCTATTCATTTAGGCAGACATTGTTTATGTTGTCACTAGACAGGTGGATGTGTGTTTTCTGAGATGGGGGGTAGAAGGAAAGCAATGAAGGAGATGTTGTAGTAAGGTCTGAAAGGGGAGGCACTCTTTTGATGCATTCATTCATTTCGTCATTGATTACTTGGTTAATTAGTAGCTAGATGGCTGTGGAATGTGCAAGAATGCAGTTTTAAAAACACTGTTTATATTCATTTGGTACTTGGATAGGGTGATGCACTAAATACAGAACAAGTCTGATTAAGGGTGAGGTTATCATGAGGTAACGATGCATTCCAGTGGAGAACAATAAAGCACTTTTCTTAAGGTCAGTAACACACATCAGTATGTGTGTTAATTTGTTAAATTGCACCTGGTTAAGAGTAAATCAGGAACAATTAATTAAAAAAGTAATTACAATGAAGATTCATAGATACCTATAAATAATTGGTTACGGTTCTTTGCAATAGTTCATAGTTTCAGGCACAACTTGTTAACTGCTCTGCTGCTAATCTTCAGTTAATTGCATCTTACTGATTTATTTCTTACTTGTTTCTTGATAAAAGGTGTTACCAAAGAAAACAACATTCTCTCTGCAGACTCATTGGTTGCATGCCCTTCAAAACAGCCTTTGTATTTTGATGATCACATGTGCATGTTTGAAAGAGCGTCGTTATATGCATATCGCATATACGTGCAAGACTATTGCAAATCAGCATCAATGAAAAGAGTAACAAAAACACAAATGTATTTAAATGGACAACTTTTAAATCCCAGTTGCATGTTTGTCAGTTCAAGTGACTGCAATAGAAACGTTGCCACATTTCCATATTTAAATTTTTTTAAAAAGTACCCCAAGTTGTCCAGTTTTTGCCACAATGATTTCACTTTGTCCCGCGTTCAATTAGCACACATCGCTCGAGTTCTCCTTGCTTATTAGTGCCAGAAAAAAGAGCGAGGGTTCCCATGACTGTTCAGTCATATGTCTCTCTTTCCATCGAGTGTGAAATAATGTGTGCGCTACACACCTCTTCAATGCACTGTGAAGTCCCAGACAGGACTTGGTCCATTTTTTTACAGAGCATAAAGGAGGAGCTGACAGGGTCATAAGCCAGTGCTAAAACTAATGGCAAGTATCATTTAGCTAAAGAATTAAATGAGTTATCCAAGTCAAAGGAAGATAGAGGGGAGAGAGAGACTGAAAGAGGCATGGCCGAGTGAAAGATAGTAGAATGTGACTGTGTTGTTAGCGGGACCTTTGTTTTGGGCAAACAGATTTAAAGGCAACACAAAAGGGAAGCCAGTGACAGGCAACAGCTGATGTAGGACGGGTAAAGAGAGGGGACATGCCTGTAGGGCTCCATGGTGAAATGACTGAATAGTCACAACAGAAACCTGTGTACATATCCTGCGCAAAGTTAGATGAGACACACACTCATGCACATACACACACACACACTTATGATTGCTCCTCCCTAGCTTGACTCTTTTCTCCCGTCTCCCTCCAGGGTTGCAGAAAAGGACAGAGTGAAAGCGGAACTAGAGCACTCCACACACCATGAAGAAAGGGGACTTTGGTAATCAGAGCCTGGATGAAGTTGGGGCTCTGCAGTGCATGTCTGGCAGTAATTATGGCAGCAAAGGGAAGAGGATTAAGGTACTATCCCATCCAGGGGTCCCATTAGTGGGATTGATGTTGTTGGCCACCCTCCCTTTTGGAGCAAGCATCAAACAAACTGTCCCCAGGGTCAAACTCAGCCAAAGAGGTAAGAAATATTGTTGATTTGACTTTTTATTTTATTGTTGTTACATGTGTACATTTTGATATGTTCGGTATTGAAGTTTGACAGAAAAATAAAGTAGTTTTAGGCCATTATGGATATTTTATCTCTTGCCAACAACCTTCGTCATCTTGTGTACTTGTATTTAGCTGGGGTTATTGTAAAGTTGCATATGTTTATCTAATGACTCACACCTATGATTTGTTTGACTTTTTTTGTCTTTTTCAAACATTTCTTTCTGTAAGCGTTTCAGCCATTCAGTGTGCATCTTCAAAGACCATGTCTAGCAATGTCTTTGTCTCTTCCTTTAACATTTCGTCTCAGCTACAGTATATCTCTTGTGGCTTTGTCCACACAGCCAAGAGAGACAAGTGAAAAGAGAGATTGTTAACAGCATAACTCAGTTATGCTGTTAAAGTAAATGGTCTTTGAAACAACACTGTAAAGTAGAGTGAGAGATTTAACATTCACTTACTGATCCATTAGCCCACTTCATAATTCCCTGCTTGTCACGTTTGATGGGCTCAAGAATGTTCCCTGGTGACTTTTTGTGAAACATGAACACAATCTATTAATCCTCTCATTGATATATCCCCAATACACAAGCCTGCAGTTACTAAAATACGATGTTGTTGCAGTCCATACATTTCACGTTGATGCTCTCGGTCAACAGTGAAACTGCCGTGTGTATATAAGCCGGTCCCGGCAATGTGCACTGCGTCCATGTGTATAGTTTTGCGTCAACTGTTTGCTTTGTGCCACCGGGGGAAAACTGAATTATAGCTCCCTTTAAAACCCATTCTAAACTCCAGGGCAAACTTAACTTCAAAGTCTCCATCCCCCTCATTCTATGAATCAGCTATACAAGAAACCACACAGATGAACTTCAGTCTTGCTCCATAAAATTGAATCCCCACTGCGACCTAAAAGTAAACTCACTCTGACTTCAACCTCCAAAAGCTCTCTTCTGGTCAAAGACTCCCTAAAACCATGGCTGGAACTAGATATGTCCTGAGTGTCCAACAAAAATATATGTAAGTAGTTGGAGGAATAATGATTGCTAGGGACAGTGTTTACTCAGCAGTTAGGCGAGTATTTAGCGCTACAGTTTGTCTCATTTTGTTTGTTCCAAATCAACATTTTGATAAAATATAGCAGTTCATCATTTCACATATGATTCCAGTTAAATGGGCCCATATATATGTGTGACAACTTTTTTTGATACTCTGTCATGGTGTGTCTTTTGGCTTAGACTATGAGCACAGTTGACCGAACTTCACAGTTCATTCAAGAGGCCATCCGACTGGTGGTTCGCTTTGGAGTTTAGATTAACAACAAACGCTGAGTCACATCCAACCCTGTTGCACAGATCATACACACTTATTGTCATCATCTCATCAGTGCATGCACTCTTCAAAAGCAACAACACCCAGCAGTGATCACTCTTCAAACATCGCATCGCCCTCCTGTGAAAGCACGGCTGACCTGAGTGATGGGTCAAAAAGATCAAAGTGAAATCATCTGTGATTGAGTGAACGCCTCCAAAACAACTGCCTTCTACTCTAAACTCATGAACTCCCCTCTGAAAAACACATCTCAAGTTCAAGTTTGGTCCCGAGTCACAACACAGACATTGTGGCCTTCTGCCAAATAAGAAGTGAAATCATCTGGTGGTCATAATATGCTGCACATTCAGATGGTTGTTATACCTTTTGTTTTTATGTTTACATGTGACCAAAAAGACAAAGCTACACCACATGCCCTACTATCCTTAGTCATGCGGCCTGTATTACTCAAAAGCTACGGTTTATTAGTCATATAGTCATAAAGTATAGAAAGACGCTTTATAGGACATGTTTTTTCTTGTAAACAGTTTCTCAATACTTAACCTCAATTTAGTGAATAGATGTGTTTAGTAACAGCAAATCATTTCAGTGATAAATCTGGCTGTTTGTTGGTTTCTTTATTTATTATTCTTAATCACATTACTGGCTGTCACGTTACTCTGTCTCTTCTGAAACCATGGACAGTACATGCTACACTGCATATTAACAATGGCAGACTGAGACTGTGATCATGCAACCTGAAAACAGCAGCCTTGTCTCAGCTATAGCTTACATTCAGAGTACAGTGATCAGTATAGGTACTTCTAGTGAATATTGTTTAAATTCATGCTTAAATGATGTGACTCTTCTTCCAGCAGATATGGCAGATTCATACACAGCAACATTACAGCAATGTATCTTTTCCACTTTATGCTCTTACAGTACATCAACTTCAACCTTCAGACAAAAGGCATCGCTGCGCCACCTCATTAATCCCGTGTTTAGTTACTTGTATTAGCGTTATAGTATTTATATATATATATATATATATATATATATATATATTCATATAGAGTTTACATTTATAGCTGATCAGCAGAGACTCAAACCTTTGGCAGCAAGCCAACAGGTGGATGTCTTACTTAAATAAATGTGTGGATGAGAGTGCCTCAGAGCTCCAGCAGAGGAGCTAATCAGGAGTTGTTAAGGGTGATGATGAGGGTTCTCTTCTCTGGAAAAAGGGTGCGGAGCACTATCGATAAGCGGCAACAGCTAAGCAGGCTGTTTCTATAGGCTCATAGCGCTACATGTTTACAGAGCAGATTAGCGTTAGCCAAGGGCTAGCAGGCCTAATCTCTCTGTGAGGTTTAGCCTGCTGGGGGCTGGAGTGTGTGTAGGGGTGGGAGATATGAGCATGTGGGGGTGCTGCGTGTGTGAGCTTGTGTATAGGAGGAGGTATTAAGCAGGATTGCGTGGTGTGGAAGGGTCCCATAAGTTCAAATATTGAGGGTTGGTAACCTCTCCAATCCTTCACACCAAGAGGGTAATCACAATGTCAATCCTTTCAGAGTGACTCCCACAGGACTCCCCCACATTGAGCCAGTGTGTATTCAAAGCATGTTGCTCTACTGGCACACTGAAAAGAGCCTGGTGATAGAAGAGATTTCCTCAGATCAAAGAGATCAAGGACACAGTGCTGAGCTGAGAAAGTTGTCAGTGCTCAGCTCCCAGAAATGGTAGCTCAGAGTTTATGGTATATATTGAATCTTTACATACAGTTTTTAAAAATGCTACCACTATGAATCATATAAAAGTCAACAGCAAACTATACCATCATCTAATGGGTGAGCAACAGGTATTCCACCTGCTCTTATCACATTCAAATCTCACGTTACCCACGACAGGCGGAGCCACAGCTCATGTTTAGGAAAATATTCAGTCATCTGCAAATGAAGTCTAGTCAGGAAAGTATCGGTACGGAGACAGGTAGTTTTAGAAAAAGTAAACCTGCCAGCTGCTTTCAAAGAGCTGCTTTTAAACTGAGAGGTTAATGCGGTAGCTATGAAAATACCCTGAGGAAGATATCTGATAATGCATCCACTAAAGTAGTGTTCTGGTACTGTATCGCTTCTCTATCAGTATGTGCAGCTACAGTGTTGAACCACTGAGGATTAGGCAAGTGTCAGGTCAAGCCAAGTCATGTTTTTGTTTTTTTACTAGAAGAGGAAACCCAGTGCTTGTCTTTGGGATTTTGGTGTGTACTGTGTGAACTGAAGAGAATAAGTTAAGCTTGACAGCGTAATCCTGCTGACATTTCTTTCCCAACATACTGTAATTCAATGCTATGTCTGTCTGTTGCTCTCTCTGGGCCAGAACTGCTGCAAGCCGGCAGTGTATCTCTGTTTATGGGACCCTCTGATGGCCTGCACTCCCACTCGCTGCTGCTGGACGAGGAGAGGGGTCGTCTTCTGCTGGGAGCCAGGGATCACATCTACCTGCTTGACCCTGACAATCTGGCCAGAGCCCCAAGAAAGGTACACTATGCTGTGAAGAGCACTGAAGAATGTGCAAATTATATACACATGTAGAAGGCTATAGAAAGATCCAACCTCAGACAGAAAAAGCAAGCAAAGAATGAATTTAGTGCAGTAAATAAACAGCAACGTTTGAGTTTGTAGCTGTTCAGGCCATTTGCTGTAATTGAGAGGTTGTTTAGATAGACATTGCAGTGACTCCAAGTAAGATTTAAGAATCCTCACACCCTCTGACAGGAGGATTGTGCTGTTAGAAATTCAAGTTTGAACAGGAGATGGAGTTTCTCCTCCATACACAGTAAATGACCCACCCTGCAGACATACAAACTCTTACTTGGAGTCACTTAAGACATCCAAACAACCTTTCTTATTTGCTGTGAGCAGCTCATTATTATAGAGACAGCCCATGCTTCAGCTCATGACACTTATACCTGTCTTGCCATTAATTGAGGTGACGTAAGGTATTTTTTTTCCATTACGGTGTTGCTAAGTTGAAATGAACTCAGCCGTGTATTGTTTTAGAGAAGAGCTCACCTCTCAGTCAACAGCAGTCTGAAACTGTCTGTCTGGCGAGGTCAGGGTCATCGTGGTGGAGGGTACACGCACACACACAAGTACGTAGACATACACAGAGTATGCACGCTCACACTTACACAAACACATAGATGCATTCGGACGAATGCCATATGTTAAAGTTTGTAGCTGTGAGTGTGTGTTTATCCAGCTGAAATTCATCCACAAGTGGGACGACAGTGTGTATATTTGATTTTTATCTGGTTGTTTTAACTCTCTGAAAGTGTTGCCTTTTTGTTGTTTTTCTGGTTATTGATACTGATGCCAGGGAGATATGCACCAGAAAGCTAATTCTATCTGACCTCTGGGATCAGCCCTTGACAGTGACTATGATCTAGAAAAGCAATCTTTGTGTTCCACTTCATGAAGAAGCATACCTCGAAAAGGCACCCTTAGGCACTAAAACACAATCAAATGTTCTGCGAGCAAACATTCTATTTGTTTTTACCTTGATTTTCAGGCGATAGCTACTATGTTGTAAACTTTTGACAACAGTCTTTAAATAACCCAATATGCTGTGGTAGAACAAGGCCACTGATCACTTTATATTCTGGCTTTCAAAACCAGTTTAAGCCCTTCACAAACTCCACACCGTACTCAGTCAGCACATCATGTTGTAACACTGTTTTTCTGTGTGAGTATGCAATGATTTGGGATCATGAGATGTTTTAATATTTGTGCTGGTGTGTTTGGATGCGTATTCAGGCTCTGTGGACCCATGAATAAGTTTGGCGATAGCTCTTCTATAGGATTTAGGGGAGGTAGTAACACGCTAAGCACATAAGCCTGTTATAACACGTGTGAACATGGTGTGGTACATTGAAGGCACACTGGATGTTGTTCGTCCATTGCGCTCTCTTACCAGCACCTGGAGATGTTGATTATTCTACAACTGAGATCAGTTGTTCAACAATCCCCAAAATGTTGCACAGAGGCAAGGAGCAAACGTTTTGCTACACTCTTCAACTCAATACTGGAGAATGTATGGACCAAAAGGGAAGTAGAATACAAGATGGAAAATAACTGAAGAAAAAAGTTGAGGGTGAAACAGAAATCTAGAATAATTACGGTAAATATTATGGTGTATAATATTGTGTCTCTAAATGGTTTTTGATAGAGAACATAGAACTGGCTTGCCTAAACTTTTCTGTCAGTTTGCCTCCGAGTTGAGGGGCCCTGATGGCAAAGACCTGGTTTCATCTTGTTTTTAGCCTTTAAAAGTCCCTAGAAGGACATTCTGGAGGATCTTGGGCTGCAGGCTCATATAAGGTTTGGGGGGTCAGGAGCTTACTCAGTAGTACCCTTTAAAGTGATCCATAACATCTTAAACTTGTGCTACTTGTGCACTCTAAAGTGCACAAGTAGCTGGTATAGAAATGCAAAACAGGAGTATTGTGACTGGTATATTACATAATGAGATGTGACGTTTTTCTCCTTTTATTTCATTAGGTTCACTGGCCTGCTCCCAGAGACAGAGTCGATATGTGCAAACTGGCAGGCAAAAATGCAAATGTAAGTTATTCTAAAGAAAGTCACCTCTGTACTGTCCTGTATTGTTGTTATAATATACAGTTTAATCAAGCTTCTTCTAATAGTTAATCACTGCTCTTTTTCTGTCGCTGCTTGTCCTAGTTGGAGTGTGCTAACTTTGTAAGGGTCCTCCACAACTACAATCGGACACATTTCTATGCCTGTGGGACAGGATCCTTCCACCCCAGCTGTGCTTTCATTGAAGTCACTGTCCACAGAGAGGTAAAGTGGATATGAGTGCATCTCAGCAAAATAGCTGACACAAGTTCAGGAGTTGCGTTTAACTTTGCAAAAGTTTAATGTTATAACCATTATCGTCTCTCAGGATGGTGTTTTCCAACTGCTGTCTAGTACAGTAGAGTCTGGCAGATTGAAATGTCCTTTTGATCCCTTGCAGCCATTCACCTCAGTCCTCACAGGTAATACGAGCAATCGCAACACACTCTGGCAGTCCTCTGCCTGCCTTATCTTTCCTGCACCAGAGTTGTATTGCTGCACAGCACCATTTACCCAGGAATAAATTATGATTCACTTCAAGTCTCCACAGTTGTTTGAGTAAATTTAAAATACTTACTGAGATAAGCCCATGAAATGGTAAAACATTAATGTAATTTGTCAAAATGGTTTGTGGTTAAGTCGTACATGTTGTATGACTGCTATTTGACTTTTAATTATAAGTATAAAAATGTTCTATATTTGCGAGTTTATTATCTGCATATTTTAATGTCAATATTTATTAACCTGCGTCTGTAATTGTTCCAGATCAGTACCTTTATGCGGGCACATCATCAGACTTCCTGGGCAAAGACACAACGTTCACACGCTCCCTTGGCCCTCCACCTGACCAGCACTACATACGCACAGACATGTCTGAAGAATACTGGATCAATGGTACACACTGAACATAGCCATATGAGCATGCCGAGTGCACTCAAAACTTGTTATTGCTTTTTCTCCAAACTTCCAGCCTCTCCACCGATACAAAGAGCCTCTCTGTGCCCTCAGGATGGTTATTGACATTCCAGTGTGGAGGAAACAGCCCACTTATTCATTTAGCTGTAACTTTTTATATGAATGCCATAGCTGAACAGGGACCACACCTACGGGGGAATTTACAGTGTGCCACAAAATTCACGTTCTTAGTCACACAACCACACACACACACAGACAGGCACGCACAGTCATCACTGGGAGGGAGTCACCTCTCTATGTATACATCAGTCTCGAGTGTTTTACAGCCACTGATGAGTTGTCGTGTATCCACTGTTGTCACCGGGATCTAAATCCTTACACATGGCCTCCACATTTCACAACCACACAGGCAGAGATGTTTGGAGTCATTATGTCTGTGTGTTTCTCTCTCTCTCTCTCTCTGAGTGTGTGTATACGGCATGTGTTGGTGCAGGCATAGAGAAAGAGCCCATCTTGCAGTGTTTCTGTTCCTGTGAGCCTGAGAAACATCTTTCCAGTGCTGCAGGACTAACGATTTCCTTCTGTCGAGTGTGTTAGCAGTCGTACATTAAGCTGTTCCAGTTGGGGATTCACCCTCTGGTGGTTGGCTCTGCTTCTAGGGGATTGAACTAATGTTGATGTAATGTCACTGCAACACTATTTAAGCCTTTGGACTAGTTCCCGCCTGAATCAGGACACTGATGGCAACATGTTGTTGATTGTATCCTTTCCCCACAGCTATTTCCTACATGATGTGCAGTGTTTATCATCCTTGTCTTGTCTTTTAAAGCTGCAATAATCAATACTTTTATAACAACAGATAAAATGAAACATGTAACCTGTCACTCACAGTGACCCAACTATGCAGTTCCCCTCAGCTCTACGGAGTGTTACATTAGCTTTCAGCTCCTTGTTTTAATTTTACGGCAACTTACATTTTTTTGTTAACTCTAAACTGCTTTAATCGACCTAATTTTCAGCTCCAGCAGGCAGCTGTTTACAGTAAAAAAACAACAAAAAAAATGTGATTAACCCACTGTATGCTACCTGTCCCGCACCAAAGAGCAGACAAAGGTAGCCACTAGCTTGTGAACACAATGGGACGTTTAGGAGCCAAACAGACATATTTCCCCTTGTTGTTGGTGGAGGCCAAAACAGAGCAAGACAGGAAGTTATTGTTGGTCTTACATTTATTTGGTGCCCAAAAACACTACTCAAAATAAATGCTACTGTTGCGCTGTCTCTGCTCGATGTGTTAATGAGCAACATATTCAACTTTATAAGGTTGTAATATGTCAATGTTGTGAGTTTACAGCTTGTTCTGCTGTTCCCAATCAACTACTTTGAACTGATTACTGTTATTAATCAGTTACTGAACACTGGGGACACATGATCAGGGTAGATATTTGAGCCTGGGTGTTCCAGTTAAAGATCTCTATGCCACACTGCTGCTTAACAGATACTGCCAGACAGGCATTCAGTAAACAAGACTGCTTTTAAACTAACCTAAATATCCTGGAAGTCACTGTATCAGTCTATGTATCAAACTATACGGCAAAGAAGATTTGTGTGCAGCCCAAGCTTTAGCTTAGTAAATATAAACTGTAATACATCAGACCTTTCTGTATAGAGCAATATTGTAAATAAACATGTGCTAAGTGTAGTGTTAATGCCTCTTCAAGGCTACAGCACATGGCAAATCCATTATCTGACTTATTTTAACACTCTCCCCTCTCTCTCTTTTCCTCCCCGTGTCTTCAGAGGCCAGGTTTATATCTGCTCATCCTATTGCAGACACCTACAATCCAGATGATGACAAGATATACTTCTTCTTCCGCGAGGTGTCGTGGGAAGGAAACGGCAAGAGCATCCTGTCCCGTGTGGCTCGTGTGTGCCAGGTGGGGTATTATACAAGAGGTGTAGAAAGTGTGAGGTTATACAGAGGGTGGGCAGGTAGGGAGGAAAGAAGGGGATGGAAGAGTGAAAACTCCAACTAAAGAAATGGAGCTGGGAAGACAGAGTAGGTGCAACACTGTGGGACCATAGAGAAAGACAGTAGGAGTGCAAGACCTCTTACAGAGTGTAGGGGAGTCATAACTCCTACAGCCCTCTGATCGGATAAGGATCTTTGTGTCAGCCTCTACAGAAGTGTTTTATGTCCCCTAGGAGGATGCCTTTCTGATACATTCTTCTTTTGTAGTTATCAAAAAAGAGTCTATCCGGGGCAGTAAGTCGTGGTTTTATCCTCTTTGTGCTCTGCTGACAGGGCATTCTTATTGCTGCTGCCTACTTACACCTTACACCTACGCTGAGATCGATGTAGATCTTTTCGGCATAATTTCTTTCTTCAAAAGTTTGCATTTATCTTTATTAAAAGGGTGATGAAGAAAGAATATTTAGTGTGGTACCATTACGTTGTATGAGATTATGTTTATTTGGCAGATGCTTTTGTCCAATGCAATTTAGAGTGAGAGCATTCAGCCTTTAATGCAACAAGAGCTACAAGTCATGATTAAAAGGTCTATGTGAGAAGCATAGAAGCACAATGCCAAACTTCAAATGCATACCCAACAGGACCTAATACAAGCGTTCTCTATGTTCAATTGCTAGATGCTGCAAGATATTTGAGGATAATATCATGTTTCAGTGCCCATTAAGTTCTATTTGACGAAATGTCAAAACAACTGTAAGCTTCGATGGCACTGCACAGCTGACTGAGGAGCGAGTAGATTCATGATTGGGGACCTTTTGTATACCATTCAGTGTACCATTAGTCATTTCAAATGTGACTAGCCCACACAGCAGTTTGCTATTAGCATTCTGAGACCTATTGCTACATTCTTAGAAAAAAGCTTTCAGCCTATTTATGACTTGTAAATATGTAAGCTGTAAAGCAGACTGGAAGGACATTCCTCCAGATTACAGCCCTCTATTTTTTTCTTTCTGTCTCTGTTGGACTTTGTATTTTTCCTTTACTTTCATCATTTCTGTAAGTGGGTTTTCCCCTGCATGTAAAAGGAGCGAAGGGAAGGCACTTCACTTCAATCCTCTTTGAAGATTATCACCATTGTCAAACATCATCATTAAGTGCTTAGATTTTTTTAAACACTAGTGTGAGTGTGTGTGTGTTGAACCCTAACTCTATATCAATTAGTTAGTACACTGGCCAACTTTAATTGGGAGGATCTCTAAAGTTTTCTATGCAATACAAAGAGGTGCACTTGAATGTCCTTACCATAGCTTAATCAAAGGTTGCTACTTAAAACAGCAATTCATATGCCAAGATTACCACTCTACAGCCTCACTTGATTTTAGTACTCTCTTCAAACATGCTGCACCTCCATTTGTTTCTCTCTCCTTTGATGTCTCTCCGTCGTCTCTCTTTTTCCTCTCTTTCAATTACTCCAGACTGTCATTATACTAACTAGAAGGTCTCCTTTGTGCCGGTTAAATAAGCAGATCCGTACTAGAGGCATGCGGTTCAACTATTTATTTTCCTAATTAGTGCAGGAAATTTGAGTCAGGCTGCGATGCTGTGTGTCGTCTCTGTGTTTAAATCCATTATTAGATAGATTACAGTGGGATTGGTGGTTAAGTGCAAAGTGAGTATTTATTAATTCTGGTTGTCCTTTGGTCATGTTGGACAGCTGCACTATGCTGACTGGTTTTGTTACAGTGTATGTGGTTGTGTTTCAGAATGATGTGGGTGGGCTAAGGAGTCTGACCAATAAATGGACCACCTTCCTCAAAACCAGACTCGTGTGTTCGATCCCTGGACCAGACGGAGTGGACACACACTTTGATGAGCTCCGTAAGTGATTGTGAGAATAAATGGTGACAATCTGGGCCAATAAACTGGGTATTATCTTCCAAAGTCTACCTTCTAAGTGCACTTCCATCAATGTCAGCAGTGGCACAGTGTTAGAAAAATCTCTTCTGTGCAGATTAAGGTAATTAAACAAATAACCTCCGTGTTGTTTCCTCTCTTTCTTATAGAGGACATCTTTATGCTCCCTACCAGAGATGACAAAAACCCCAAAGTGTATGCAGCCTTTACCACCTCCAGGTAAGTTTTCATCACACCATCATCAATACTACAACACTCTCCTTTTCTTCCATAGCCTTAACCTGGTCTCTTGTTTCCTCTTTCCTCTCAGCTCCATTTTCCGTGGCTCAGCAGTGTGTGTGTACAGCATGGCGGACATTAGGGCCGTGTTTAATGGACCTTACGCACACAAGGAGGGGCCCGACCACCGATGGGTAGAATATGAGGGAAGGATACCGTATCCCCGTCCTGGAACGGTGCGTTGCCGACTGAAAGGCCCAGAGACAAACTGGCAGCTCGTACTTAATTGATCCGAGCTAAAGAGGATTTTCTTTTCACAAATTAGATGAATACAATCATCAACTTTCTTACTAATTACAGAATAATAAACACGGCCTAATTTGAAAGTGTTTGGTTCAAGGACAAAATGTTCAAGATGCTGTAGGGTATGAATGCTGTCATCTTCACATGATGTATGACATAACCTTGGCTTCTTAGAGGTGATTAAAGTAATGTTAATCAGATTCTTCTTTCATCTCATTTACAAAACATAATCAGTGGGAAGGAAAGAATGTATGGAGGATTAAGTGTATGCTTCAGGTGTACAGCTGTTTGAGAAATAGTACACTCAGAAAGGGGGAGTTGGACTGACAGATGTTCCAGATGTGCTTTGCCTCCTGCTGTTCTTCATTTGACCACCAGAGGGAAACATGCACCATTACATTGTCAGTAGTCAGTTAGCTGAAAAGAAATATTGGAAAAAATAGTCACAAACAAACATTCTTGTGATTGCGAAAATTTTACAGAAGATCAACATTTTTTTATTTCGTCCTTTAGTGTCCCAGCAAGACATATGATCCAAGGATCAAGACCACCAAAGACTTTCCAGACGAGGTGGTCAGTTTCATTCGACTCCACCCTCTTATGTATCGCTCCGTCTACCCTCTGACTGGCCGACCCGTGTTCACACGCGTCCGAGTGGACTACACCCTGACTCAGATTGTGGTGGACAGAGTTTTGGCGGAGGATGGACAATATGAAGTCATGTTTCTGGGAACAGGTGAGACACATACTCTCTCCTTGCACTTCAAATTCCATATTTGACCAGCAGAGGGCACTATATCACTATGAATTGTTCTTGGCCTTAAACCGATTTTGCTGATGCCGTTGCAGTTAGAAAAACAAAAAAAAATGTAAGGTTGCACTTGGATCCAGTATCCGGTCTGAGGTTACTTGTGCATTTTAACACTAGACCATTCTCAAACCAAAGTCTGAGAATGGTCTAGTGTTTAAAATGTGTTTGTTCCTTATGTGTATGGACCAGAAGTGTTCATTTTTATTGGATACGAAAACAATACAGTACTCATACCTGGTTGGATTACATTATTCACTTCTAAATTAAATATTAATGTGGTGTGTTTTGCTTGATTTATCCCAATCACACATCCTGCATCCTGTTTCACTCTCTGTCGTAGACGTTGGCTCAATTCTGAAGGTGGTGAGCATCACCCAGGACAATTGGTCAACAGAGGAAGTGATTCTCGAAGAACTTCAAGTTTTCCAGGTTCTGTGCGCAACACAGCCACATACACAAATACAGAAAAAGAAGAACACACAATTACATTCGCTCCAAGCTTTTTGATAAATGATGCCAACTGTTCTCTAGCTGTCCTCCGTGGGACAGTTGACTCATTAGACAGTGAAATATTACTTGTATCTCTGTTGCAAACTGCCACACTGATGGGATTTTTCTGGGCTATTAATCAACAAACTTATGTGTTGTTTTTACTCAAAAAGTTTTCCAGCAATATATTTTTATTGAGGTGCTGGTGACGCTTGTTTGTTTGACTTTTTGCAGGTTCCCACTCCTATCCTAAGTATGGAGATGTCTTCTAAACAGGTTTGACCTCCTTCTTGTCCATTTGATTCCCGCACTTTTTTCTCTGCCTTCATTCATGCCACATGCATTCAGTGTGTGCCTGATGTGGCACAGGACATACTGTTTTTATCCCCAGTTCATTCATCTATTCAATTTCGCTCTCTGTCTTTAGCCTTCCCCATTTCCTTGTAGCTCTCTCTCCCCCTTCTGCTTCATTATCTTAGGGTCACGGGTGTCAGTAGACACTTCAACCCCAATCAGTGCCTCCATTAATCTCCAGCAGTGTTTGACCTGTGCGTGTGTCTGTATGTGCATGCTCGCTAGTGTTTTTCAGAGGTTGTTTGGAACTTCCGTTCGTGAATCTCCTTAAATTCAGACGAGTCAGAGCAGATCCTTAAAGTCAAATTTGTAAAAATCCTTAAATCTCTGTGTTCTGATTATGTGCCTGTTTAAGGTTATGAGTATTAATGTTATAAAGCCTTGACCCCCAGGTATTTTTTTCCCTCTAACCAAAGGAATCTCCTTTGTTGATAATACAATTGAACTTGATATTGATCTGTATGTCTACCTTTTCCTGAAGCAGTGTGTGGTGTGTGTTTCTCTATAGCAACAGCTCTACGTGGGTTCGAGTGAAGGGCTAGCCCAGGTTTCGCTCAGTAGATGTCAACTGTATGGCCAAGCCTGTGCTGAATGCTGCCTGGCAAGAGACCCCTATTGCGCCTGGGACGGACACACATGCTCACAATACATCCCTGCATCCAAGAGGCATGCTAGACCCGTGAAAATTCACTTTGCCGACTATGTAATATAACCTAAAACATGCATACATCCTCAGTAAACATGTAGGATTGTTAAAGTTCAAAACTGTAACTCTCTGCACATTCAAAGGACAGGAAAGAGAGTCTAGTGTCCATTGGTGTAACTCTTTTATGTGAGAATACAGAGAGGCCAGATCACTTGTGCTCAAATGTTCACGTTTATGTCCATTCACTGTATGTAACTATGTTAGAGAGATGCTGCTCCTCGGCGGATTAATGTTACTGTCATGCAACTCTTCTCGAGTGAGTCCTGGTGGTGCAATGCGTGAGCGGACTGCTTGTGTGTCTGCGTTTCTTGTTTGTGTGCTTGCTTGCATGAATCAAGTCTCTACAGAATCGATACCCTACGGTTTGAGGTCACACTGCCATATTTTTGGCCAGTGGGGATGCTGTTATGGTTTGTGGAACAGTGGAGTCCCTGCGTTTGGTCTCCAGAGCTCTTTGAAAGCTGATCTCCACAGTGTCGGGGAGTGTAGGCTACAGATGTCCAAGTACAAAGAACTGACAGGAGGTGGAGGAGGTGAAATCAGTAAAAACTGAAGGAGTTTTTTTGTCCAAATCACAGGTTTCACAGATGACAACTAGAGAAAGACACAGAGGTATCACTAATCAGAGGTCACATTAAATCACATTTTAAGAGGTTGGAAAAAAATGCTGCTTGAGTTAATTGTCCGGCAACTTCTTCAAATGCTCACCAAAGCAAATTTTGAGAAAACATACCCCAGTTTGAGATGTGTGAGAGGTTCTTTGTTTTAACTCCTTCAAAACATTCTGACTCAGGGGAAAAACACATAAAACAGAATGCATGTTTTTGTATGAGAAACTATGGTTATTGGTTATTGACATAGTTTCTTTAGTATTATTTACATATTTATTTATTTTAAATAATTAGCATTAGCTATTATTTTCAGCTTGATCAGTGTTGCATTCAGTTTGGTTATTGTGGTGCGTTTGAACCCTGATGGGGATCACCAATCCCACTTTTTTTTAACAAAATCAAAAAAAAAATACTGGTGACATGTCTTTCAAAATTAAAATTAACTTTTATCCCAATCGTGTGTTTGTTCTCCAGGCGAGCCAGAAGACAAGACATCAAGCATGGAGACCCTGCCAGTCAATGCTGGGACACAGAGGAGAGTACGTATACCTTGGTCTCTTAAGAAGTTCGGCCTTCATCTGTCTTTGTAAGAAAGCTGTAAACACATACACAGTAAACAGATAAAAGATTCACTTAATTAATCGATAGAGGAAACCTGCATGAGGTACGTTTTTTTAGAACTAGAGAAACTACTCTTGGATCGATAACAGTAGTGTTTCCTTTAGGTCTTGCTGGGGGACGGGTGGAGGAGAGGGTCCTCTATGGGGTGCAGAGCAACTCGACCTTCCTCGAGTGTATCCCCAAATCTCAACAGGCTCAGATCCAGTGGTACATACAGAGACTTGGATCCGAACGCAGGGAGGAGGTCAGAGAGCGCACTCGTCGACACGTGTACACACACCATCCCTCCTTCCTTTCCTTCCTTTCCTTTCTCTCTCCACTCTCTCAGAAGTGTGAAGGTGAACTTTTTGTTTTTCGAGTGTACCAGAGGGGTCACATGTTCTTCATGCCAGGTCACAAAGCAGGGAAGTTACAGGGCCAAATACCAACGTTTATCACTGCAACATATGTAATTTTTTTACACAAGTACTTCAAAGCATCCAAAAACATTTTTACAACTTTACTTCAACCTCATCTGCTGTGAGGTCTGAGCCTTGAATCCATCAGCAACTGTTTTAGCCACAAATCATATTGCTACAGGTCCTGCTTATCTTGGGGAAGATAAAGCAGCGCCTGGACCTAGAGGAGACTGTTCATAGCTTATAGTGTATACAAAGTTGAATACCCAAAAGTCCCATTTTTTGGGGAATTATCGGTAATAAGGGAGCCAGGGTCTCACTATTTTCTTATTTCCTTATATGTTCGTTATTGATGTTTGTGACTGTCGAGGGATTTCTGAAATTTTCTCCAGCTCCTCTCTTTTATTTCTCTTTTATCACCTTCCCCAAAAAGGTGAGGAATGACTTAAACCAGACCCATCTGAGTGGATGGGACGTTATCTATCCCTATGAAAAATGGGGGAAAATAAAAATGAGAATTGCACCCTGGATTTCACCTTTTTCTTTGCATTTTCTCATTAGGTATTCACGCTGGAATGCAACTGCTTTTCCCTGTGGGCCAGTGGTCCAAGGGAGACAATAGATACTTTCAATTGTGTTCTGGACAGAAAATGGAATGGTGGATCAGGAAACAAATTATACACACTTTAAAAATACTGACTTCACACAAAGCATTACTTAAAAACAGCCATCTTTAGGGCATGTTGGAAGCGGAATTTCCAGCTGTTGCGAAGTGGTGCATATTTAGTGTTTATTTTCAAAACCGTTAAACAACCTTGTACTGTTTCATTGCATTGGACCAAAGTCACTTGAAAACTCAGATCCTGGGAGACGGGGAGGTGGACAGAGAAGGACAGAGAGCCTAATGTGTTTGTATTTGAGGTGTGGAAAGGAACTCATTGATGATGACACTCGTCTCCTGAATGAGACAACAGAGACCTGCTTACTCAGCACCTCAGTGCCCTCCCCTCCCCTATCCAAACATACAAACCTTCCTCCACCTACTGCGAGTGGCCCACTCAACCCATTCACTCCTCCTCTCTCGCCCCACTTCACGATACACTTATTTACTCCCACGACTGGCCCCCTGTCCTCTCTCTCAGGGGTGAATGTAAACAAACTGACAGGTGCAGAGGCCACTAAAGAACCATGTGTTCCTCTCCTTTATAGGCCTGCACAGCAGAAAGCCCAGCATTTCCCTTGGTGTGTGTGTGTGTTTGTGTATGTTTGTGTGCGTGTTTCTTTATGAGCCCCTACAGCAGAAATGATAACAGAGCGCTCCCTAGGGACAGCCATGTGCCCATGTGTTTTGGGGTAATGGACACAGTGGGGTGTTTTCTTTGTTTGTGTGTCTAGGCATGCAATGATATGTGACCTATTGTACTCTAGACAAAGTGATGAAGGAGTGAATGCAGGAGTTCTTCCTCCCTCAGGATTGTCATGTGAATGACACAGAAGCCAAGAAATTATAGCAGATTGTACAGAATCTGTAGGATCAATAGCAAGTTCACTGGTATTTACTACGGCAAAGCGTCCGAGAGGTTTGGCTGTGTTGGAGCATGTACATACAATTCATTTCTACGTGATAGAAAATGTATCTTAACTTCTTCTCTGCCAATGAAAAGGTAGAGAAAGCCACCACCTGGACTAACTGGCAGCCCAATACAATTTTTTGGGTTTCACAATTTCTCTGAGGAATCTCAGACTGGGCTTTATAGCAAGAACCTTTACACAAACTTGTCATAATGACCAATGTTCATATTTGTTATGATTTATAACAAGACAATTCTGCTTTGGTGCTTGAAGAATGTCCTGATGATGAAGAAATCAGATGGTTCATTAAGATAAAAAGAAAATAAATAGGCACACACAGCTTTATAATACAGCCTTTGCATGAATAGATACATAAATAAATGTATTTCTATGGCTGAGCAGCTGGTAAACATCTCAAATGTTTGTAGACAGAATACCAAGGACAAAAGGAAACTGCAACACAAATGCTTGGATTTATAAGTAATTATACATGACTGAATGATGCATTGTTTCTACTAATGGGCCAATCAATTTGTATTTAATTAACATTTCAGACTACAAACATGGCTTTCAAAGTGAATAGGAAAAATAAGAAATAGTTAACTAGTAATAGACAAACATATTTTCTTAAACCGGACTGTGAGTTTAATGCTTGAATACGTTTTTATTCTCCATTTCCCTCACAGGCAACCCCTCTGTAGTAGTTCGTTTTCACTACTTTTTGCTTCTTTCTCATGTGAGCTCATATTTACCATTAAGCACTTGAGTGATTGTTTTCTTGGCTGAGCCCCAGCAATGCTGCTGACAGTCTAAACATAGAAAATGAGTTCAAGTAAACCACACCAAGCTGGAGGTCAAAGAAACACTCTGTGTACTCTTTCAGGTGATGGGAGAGATAGTTGTGTGTGTCTTAGTTTGAACTGTGTAGCACGGCATGTTTTTCAAAATGTCTTTTCTGAGCCGTGTTACTTTGAAGATATTCAAATAGCTTTCATGTCATTGATGCTTTTTGACTATTTCCTCATCTTTGTACATGACATGATCTGACTGACTGCCACTTGTTTTTGTTGTTGCTCTTGTCCTTTAAGTTGTCGTCATGGTTTTCTCTCTTTCTTTATCATTACCACCCTTCGTTAATGTTGCGTTTACCGGCAGCTGTGTCAAGCAGAACTAAATGTAGACCGGTAACCTGCATTTACAAGATGCACAGATGCCAATAGTGTTGTGGGGCTTCCCTCGTGCGGGACAAGGTGGTACCTGCTCTCACAGCTGGACATGTGGTGTTGGAGCAGGTGATTTCTGAAGTGTCTGGCTTATGTCGACCTCTCACTCCGTGTGCTTTTCTTCCCTCTCCGTTTCCTTCCGTCTCTCATCCTTTGTCCTCTTCTGTCCCTAAACCTCCCTCATCAGTCCCACCTTAATCTCTCTTCACTTAGTTCTTGCCTTCATGCTCCTTACTCTACTGTGGTCGCTTGTGCTTTTTCATGTTGTCTCAACACTTTCCTACAGTGACTTCCCTTCTCTGTTTCTCTCCACATTTTCTGCCTCTTGATGGGTTTTGATAAACTGCTCCTTGACTAGCTGCTCGCAGCACCTGCAGCCCACCCCCGACACTTATTCTCATCATACACAAACTCCCTCCTCTTATCCCCTCATAAGAAGGCAGCTTTTAAAGATTTGAGCTGGAAGAGATCCCTCCGACTTTCTCACAGCATGTTTGTGCGTCTGTTAGTGCCTGTTTGTGTATTCACCTCCTGGAGCCTGGAATGCGGGCCCATAAGAAAATGTGCAATAAGAAAAGCATGGACACATTTAAATTTCATCAGAGGTGTTCATTAGAACAAAGCATAGCCTTGCTGAAAGCATGGGAAGTTCTTAAACTGGCATTAAGTTTGCTTAAAGCTTAAGCTTTTAAAACACTTGCCCACACCAGTGCTTCATTTCATAATTAAAAGCTGCAGTAAGCTTGCAGTACGCCACATGCATGCGCGCTTGTTTACACATGCAAATATGCATGTAAGTGTTCCTACGAGCACAGAGCTCTGTGCAATACACTTAAAAACTGCATTGCTATTCCTTGCAGGACTTTGTTAGCTAATCACACACACACACACACACACACACACACACACACACACACACACACACAAACACACACACACACACACACACACACACACACACACACAGGTACACTAATAAAGACAGACCATCTGGGTGAATTTCAATGTCTGGCATTGCCATTTTGCAACAGATGCCTTCATTTTGGATGGGGAGTGGGGGTGGGTCTCTCCAACATAACCGCAGAGATGTTGCATAGGTGAGATTTTACGTTGTTATCCCATGTGTTTTTTCAAGTCTGTCAGGTGTGTCAGGAAATGAGTATGTGACGGGAGACAGACTAGTAAGTCTAATATGGGTGAGGGTCAAGATCCAAAGAGCCTCTTAGGTCTGCGGGTCTGCCTCTGGCTGGACAACACATCATCAGTGTCAGACCGAGAAACCACCACAGACCCAGAGTTCATAGAAAGATAAACAGGCAAATATTCACTGTTTTCTACATGCACTTACACGTCTGGGGGGTCAGAGCATGACTGTGGGATGTATGCTTTTGAAGCATACACACATGCACAAACACACACTCACACGTACTGTCATGCACACACATTCTCAGTCCTCTGAACACAGCTGTGTTGTTTTTGGCCCTGACAGCAGCTATGCCACCTGATGAATCATGTTGGATGCTAAATGAAAAGAGGGGGTTATAAACATTGCCACGCTACTTACCCTTACACCTTGATGACAAGCACAATCAACCTCACACATACACATGCACACACACACCCACACACACCTACAAACACACCATTTATTTTGCTGAATACCTTCTTCAGCCTTTGCGTACTGCTTCCACTCATCATGCATCTAAAGATCTCTCCACACCACATAAAGACCCCCCCCCAACGCTGTGAGTGACACTCACCACACCCAATTCAATATGTTTCCTGTGTCAGGGGTCATTACCATGTCTTGCGCACCTTGGAAACAAATCAGGCATGTATGTGTGTAAACAGGGTGGCAGGTATCAAGCTGGCGTTTTGTATGTATGTATGTGTGTGCAGTTATTCAGATTGATTGTTTGTGGGTAGGACATTTCTTGTTGTTTTATAGTAAAGCTTTGAATCTTGATTTATGAAAGCAGTACAGGATTTCACATCATTTTGTTGTATAGTGTACTAAGCAAAGGCAGCTGTAGTGACAGGACCTTATTCTTTGTGATGAAGCTCTTACATGTCTCTTTTTGTGTCCCAGGTCAGGCTGGATGATCGTGTCATGCACACAGATCGAGGTCTCTTGATTCGCTCCCTCCAAACCTCCGATGCTGGTGTATATGTTTGTGTTGCTCAAGAGCACACACACTTTACCCAAACTCTCCTGCGTCTCACGCTGCAACTTGTTACACATGGACAACTGGATGGGAAGCCCAAGCCCAGCGAAGACCCTGCGGTGGAGCCACGGCACGGCGGGGAGTCCCGCCATCGTTATAAAGACTACCTGAGAGTGATGAGCGCTCCCTTTGTGTCTCTGGAGGAGTACTGTGACTCAATGTGGCTGACGAAGAGGCCGTCAAGGGTGCGAGGACGAGGCTTAGGAGCTGGCAAATGGAAACATATACAGGAAATGAAGAAGAGCCGGAACAGGAGACAACACAGAGAGAGGGAGGAAGAGTGGGAAAAACAGGAGCGAGGGAGCGAGGGAGGGTGGTGAGGACAGCGAAGCAGTGAGCGATGTGGTTAAAAAAAAACATTCAGGGTTACCTCTCTATATTCACCGGTTGGATGAAGAAGCAGAACGTGACACTGAACTGCACAATTGCAATGACAGATCAATCCATGAGCAATGTAACTTAGAGTCAATAAAAGACTAACTCTGAAATATACAGTTCAAGAGTTCAACTAGCGATTTTAAACAGTTTTGGGTTGTGAATACGTCATTTAATTCATCTGCCAGCATCTGTCCTGTTTGCAGACAACATAGCGTTAAATAAACATGAGAGACTGAATAACAATAATTATTGCAATCTGTAAAACCATAAATTTAGCACAGCCATCCATTTCACCGGCAAAATGGTTCCCCCAATAGTATAGAATGACCATTAATCATTTGATAATATTGAAACATATATTTGAATTGGTGAAATTGGGAAAATATAAAAAAATAACGTGTGATGACTATAATGTGGTGATGACAATGCATTCATGTTGAATGACTGTAAATATTTATATACCATGTACAGGAGATACAGTATGCTCAATTTAGTTTTATTACTGATCCGTATAACTGTAATCATAATCATGTATTGTGTTTGGGCTGACAAAACGACATATTTTTGTACAAATGCTTCACTCCTATACTGTAGGCTCAATAGATATTTTCATAATTGCTGATTATTAAAGTTATTTAAATAAATGTGTCTTTGGGCCTCTCTGCCCTGAATGGCTTTTTCTTTCATCGTGTGAAGAAATATAATCAATATACAGAAAATGTATTACTGTAAAAGAGCAGCTACAGGCAGTCTCAAGTAAACAGCTGACAAGGTTGAGAATGGGTAAGGGTTAGTTCAGCTGAGCCTCTCCTGATATAGCAACACAAGTCCCTGTACACTGTATACAGATGTCAGAATGATTCAGGACCAGCTGGTCTCTTTTTATGTGTGTGTGAGAGTTTGTAAAAGAGAGAGAAAGTGGGCATCTTCAGGAGAAACCATGCAAAATATGAAAGTTTTTGATCACACTAAGCAATTTACAGGATTCCTAGAATATACTGACAAAGCTCTAAATGCATCAACATCATTTTCATGAGCGTGAAAAGCAAGCATTATGCAACCCCATGTGTCTGACCTGAATAATACTTTTAGACTTACATAATAATGTAGATGATATCGTACACAGTGCTTGGGTATAATGCTGAATACAATATAACAAAGGTTTCTCTGTGAAATACATTGGTCGTGGGAATCCTTTGTTTTAACAGACTTATCCAATTTAGCTGGAGCTCCTGAAATACTGCAGGTAGTCTATCACCAGGTAAATGTGTCCCATCGGCCAACTCAGGGGTGGCAGCAACAAATTACATTTTCTGTTACTGAAACAGTCGTTTTTCTGAGTGCTTAATAATTGGTTGTGTTGGTTTGGAGATAAGGTCTCTGTGCTGTGATGTGTATTCGTTAACATGCTAATGCACTGTATTTTGTTGCCTAAATGTCTTCTTTAATTGAATGGGTCATATATTACATACTATATATTCTTATATATTAGAATATTCTTATATATAAGTAAATGCTTACCTTTTAAAATGAACGTTTACTCAGAGTACATTTTAACTGTCTTACATTTTTTTTTATCTGAGTACATTTTTACACAATAAATTTGACTTCTACTTAAAATGTATTTAAAGGAACGCTATTTTTACTTGAGCAACGTATTCTTGTACTCTTTCCATCCTTCCCCATGCTAATAATAAATCATTGGAAAACTTCTTTCAATATCCTTTTATTTCTTTTACTGACCTCCCCTACACAACTAGTACGGTCTCTGTGTTGAAACACTTTGCATTTGATTGTCTTAACTCTACAGACACCACCATGCCTCTTATTTCATTGCGCTTACTGTACTTGCCCTCTATATACAAATGCACAAAGGAACAGCATTCGAGTCTCCCATTTTGTGGTGTTCCACAGTGATTTCTCCACGTTTCTTCTAACAAAGACAATAAATATTTTAAGCACTTCCTCCTTGTCTATAGTTTATTTATCAGTCAGCTGCAAAGAACAAACTACATCTCCTCCAAAAAAGGGAAAGAGCAAAGGGACACCATGAAAGGAGTGGTTTCAGACTTTAACACAGCGGTCCTCAAGAAATATAAAACAAATGCTTAAACCACTTATATTTAATACAGAAATAAATACTCAATCTAGTCATCTTTAGGAAAAAATCTGTGCTGTTTGCATTCTTCTGGTCCTGCAACTCAATCATTTCTCCTTTCACCCCTCACTTACAATGCTATGAACTATTTAGTTCACTGAGGTCAGGAGAGTGAAGGAAATGGCAAGGGGGGAAAAACAAAACATTCCAGAAACATATTCCAAAATGAGATGTTTGAGAGGTAATGAAAACTTGGAGAGATGGAGAAAAGGTATGAGAGGTATGCGATTGAGTTAACTTGACCTTCGCATTTGATTGGAGAAGAACCGATGAGTAAAGGTGACTTGTTGCGAAAGACAGGCAGACAGAGGAACCAGAACTCAGTATGGAAGCCCATTGAGAACTTCATTAAAATGATAATGTAAACTTGAAAATGAAAAGGTAACTCTACAATAGCATTTTCTGGCATGGGCAAGAATATAAAAAAAATGAGCAAAAACTTTTTGATGACTGAGTGCCAATTTAAGGGGACAACATACATAGTGTAGGCCTACTACAGCAAATGTGAGTTGTTATTCAGAGGGTAAATTACATGTTAATAGTTTTGTTTTCTTCATTGAAAGCATTTTATAGGATTTCCGTACTGGCCCAAGCACTTACATTGTCAATGAGAAGTAATTTATTCTCGGTTTCACCTTATTAGCGGGTGGTGGGAACCAATGGCTGAGAGCTTAGAGAGAAGGTCATTGGCTCAACCCAAGAACATGATATGGATGTAAAACAGGCATCAAATCCAGCCCTCTCCCTTTTGGTCCGGCACTATGCACTCATCTGAAGAGAAAAGGACAACACAATGAATTACATCATGCTCACATGGTATCAAATAGTCATAGTATAGTAGGCAGACATATTTTCCACATTTTTATAGAATAGTATGACTTGAAATAATCATGGCAAACTATGCTATTGTATTTTTTTGAATCACATGTAAGGCATGATTTACACACATAGACAGGTAATGTGTATATATTTACAAACCCTTGGACTTTAATAACTCATGTGTGTTTCAGATTTCTGCTCATTTTGAAAACTTTCTGCACATTCAAAACATATCCATCATATCTGTGTTCTCTGAGAAGTTGAGAATAAAGTAAATATTTGAGGAAAAAAGTTTTAATATTACGAGAATGAAGTCAAAGTATTTAACTGCCCTGTAGTCTGCTGTTTGTTATGTTATTACTCTGCGCTCTGTCATACAGTTTGAAGGGAATACTACGATATCAGCAGACACATAACTCTATTAAGGACTCTCTCTGGATGAGACAAAGTTTAAGGAAGCTACTGTCCACTGCTCTCCATCTAACCAAAACTAACAGAAAACACTTCTGACATTAATCTCACCATCTTGGGTCTTATTGTGCATGCAAATGTTAACTTCAACACCTATTATGGAGTACAGGTCAAAGCTGCTTCCCCAAGCTTTTCCGAAGCACACCAATGTCGTTCCATATTAAAGCTGGGCGCAACACGACCTTAAAGAATTATCCACCGCCTTCCACCCATCGGGTGAGTTAGTATTGATATCCCAGCATGATCTGTGTCAGAATCTGAGTTTGAACACAGAGTTCAATGCTGAAGCTGTCATTTGTTTCAGCACCATGGCCAGCACTGGCCTTTTTTGAGGCAGCCTTCCCATGGTGGAGAAGACTAAAGCTGGCTGCAAACTGTATCAACTGACGCTCCACAGATGGGTGCGCGCTCACTTACGGAGCATTGCTTAGCATGGCACAGTCTTCTATCCATGAATGCATGGCTGTCAAGGCTAGTTTCAAGAGGCTTCACGCTACAGTCAGGCTGGATGTGCCAAACTCTCTGTTGTCACACCCCTGTCAGTAATGCACCTGCTAGATCCGCAAGCCATGTGGTGGTCTTCATGGGACTCCTCCAAATGAGAAAGATCCAGAGGTGGTTCGGGCCACCGCCACGTTCATCCAGTTCAGCAGAAAAGGTACTGACCATCCCTCCCTCACTGCATTCAGACCTGGCATACTAGAAAAATCGTTGTCGGGGGTTCCCTTTAGGAGAGTGACGTCACACATCTTGCGTCCTTCTCTAGATTGGATGGGATAGCCCTGTCTCAAATTGTAAGGAAAATGGGGTCTCCCCCATGCCTCGACAACATCTGTCTGGAGCTGTCCACACTACCAAAGCACTGAAGCGCCTTGCTCCAAACAGACAACATACGAGGCGCATAGGATATTATCACGAAACTGAAGTCATGTTACAATCTTGCAATTTTAAACATTTTGCGATATGCTGAGATAAAACATTGCGATATATTGCGATTAGTCACCTACTTTTCACTGCAACTAATGCAGCTTGTCAATATCTTTTTTATCAGTTAAGATAACGTTTTTAATCGTTTCATCTAACTTCAGTCATTTTGATTGCAACAAAATAGTTTTGTCAGTCAAGCAGATAAAACATTGTCATAAAAACTTTATAAATGTTGCCTCATGCACCAGATAAACTGAACCGTTTGTATTACAGTCTGCATTGTCCAATCCCGCTAACTTTACTGGACCAGAAGATCCTCAGCACCCTCTAATGGACTGAAAAAGCAATTATTACAAAAAGGTTTAAATTTGTATTTGCAATTAGGGATGTCACGATATGAAATTTTCATGTCGCAATTATTGTCAGAAGAAATATCACGACTAACAATCAAAATATTTCTAATAGACCTATACCTAATGAACTAAAATATTTTTCATCATCGGCTATTTCCTTTTACTTTGTTTAAGTCATATATTGTGGTGATTTGCATAAAAAACACAACATTTAAATGTTTAGGAAATAAAAGAATCTATTTTATTGAAAAGAAATCTTAGATTATTCATGTTTTTATGTATTTTAAGCTGCCTAGAGCTAGTGTTAGGAAGGTAAACAGGTCATAATTAGATATCTAATATCTAATTTATGTTGCAGTCAAACATGATAACTTCACTTGACTTCGCCAAATACTCCTTTTTAAGGTTTGGAGATGCACAACCTCTGTTGACATTACAGTAGCTGTGACCTGAAGATTCTTCCATAGTTCCCACATAATGTGTAAGCACCAGTCGAAACCATCTACACGACAAAACTAAAAATAATGTTTCAAGCTAAACCATGTTACACACATTCAAACCAGCCTTTTATGATACAAAACGTTATTATCTGTTCAATTATATATATCTACTCAAAATGACTTTTTTTGTCTTGAGTAATAGTCCTGAGTAGTTAATGCATAAAGCTAGTTTGAACGTCCAACTGAATACTCGCCTTGAGGAGAGGATTGACAGCATTTTAATTGTGACACTAAAAAAGCGTGGTGACATGTAAGTGTAAATGCATTGACTAAGGGTGCTGTTTTGCTTAATGTATTTAAATATTGTGCTCTGCGCAGCAGATTAAGTCTTTGAAAATGCAATGTCAAATGCTGTTTTCATGTTCAAATAGTCAGACATTTTTCATAATATTGTGACTATAACTTAAAATGATAACGCTATTGTGGTATTATAGTTTAATTTTAAGTTTACATTATCAATTTAATAATTAAGTCCCCTCTGAGCTTCCATAATTCAGGGAAAGAAACCAGATTATAAGGAAGGAAGTGCTCAATTTGATGTGATTGATGTAATGAGCTGTCTGCTTAGGACCCCTGTAGTGGCCTTACAGGATACACAGACAAAGGCACATTTCACTGTCTCGATTGTAAGTGGTTTCCCTGTGTCCAGTGACCCACGTGGACACATCAAGATTAGATACAGTGCATTGGACTGGCATCTTCCCAGTAGGCGGCTCAGGTTGGACTGGCAGTGGAGGCTCTCTAATTGACTGATATCATCTGGGCTTTATTATTTTGGATGCATCATCTAGCGATGCATAGTGGAGTTCTTTAATCAAAACAAAACAATACTTGTTATTGTGTGTCAGTATAGGTATGATTGAGTAACACATTTCAGTGTCTCTTTTGAATCAAAGAGGTAAAGATAAACTTCAATATATGTCTCAAAAACCATTATCAAGAGTGTCACAGCCTTGTGTTAGTTGGCACATATAAACAGAATGCAATGTCCGTTGACCCAAATCTGTTTCCATCATCCTGACACCAACGAGTACATATTTGTGTCAGTTTATGCAAGTGTGTCCAGGTGCAAGAATGTAAAGCAAAGGTGTTTTCCAATAAACACTGTCCAACAGGAAACTTCAACGGGACCATGCAAGAATTAAGATATCAAATACCATGACGGGACCAGAGGGAGAGAAAAAGGAGAAGAAAGCGGAATTGAGATGTCAAACCATGGAGGTGTTTCTGGTTCTATATTACAGGGGATTTACAGCTGTGCAGATGTGTGTATTTGTCAAGTGTTGACAGTGAACTTCTGGGCCGGGTGGAGACAGCCAAGTGTTGTATGGGAGCTGTCGGGCTGGGCGGTATTTATGGACGCCTGGGGGTCCTGGAAGGCGAGAGGTATGTGTGTATGAGCTGCAAACAGTTGTTACCCCAGAAGTAATGACTACCTGTGTTCCCTCTG